CTTAGACCGGCACAAAAAAAGGTGTGTCTTTCTTTAGCCCCCCCCCCCAACATGGGGCATCCTCAAAAACAGACAGACCCGAATGGGTCTGCCAAAAAGCTACAAATGATGAGACCTTTTGCTCAGGGGGGAAGAGCAACCCAGCAATGTCCGTTGGCGTGGGAAGCAGACGCAGGGCAGCCAGCGAAGAAAGCTTGTTTCAGCCTTTGTGAGCATGAAAGGGAGTGAATGTTTGCCCAACGAGGCTAGTTCACGGTTGCAACACCTACCTCCAAACTATTTGCAATCTGCCCAACCTCTCAACGAACAGCCATTTGTCGTACCGTCCTTGGTTCCCAGCTCTGTCTCTCGGCCCGAAACAAGCCTTTTCCGCCCGAGTGAGTGTAGAATGGTAGTTTCCTTGGTAGAAACAACACATATTCCATAGCCTTGGAAAGCCAATTGTGCCTTAAACCACACACCTTTGTGAAGGTTCTTTCTTGGTTTCTAACCGCGGGGAGGAGGTAGCACCTTGGCCATCCTTATGTTCAAGCTTCAAAACCGCTTTTGAAATCAAGTTCCGAAGCCCTTGCTCCCACATCTTTTCATCCCTCTTGTTTTTGTGGCGGCATTTAGTGCACTGTCAAGTCCTGAACCTCAATTCTTGGGCTTCTGGTGTTGCTGTGAAAAATGCGGAACAGGATGCTTTTTGAGCCATGGGTTTGAACTTGGTCTTGTTTGAAAACAACCCGCAACAGAAGCGTTTGGTAGTCCCTTTTACACCTTGTGTTTGAGTTGCCTTTGGTTTGCCTTTGGTGCCCTCTGAAGAAAACTTGCTGGCCTAGGTTCATTCCCAACAGGATCATTCCCTTCAAGAGGCGTGAAGGAAGGTCCCGAAGGATCTTCTGTTGTTTGGCCATTTGGCTGCTGACAGTCTTGTCATTCCTGACTTCCAGAGAGGCCTCAAACTTTGACTTTGGCCGTTTGACTCATTTCACGCCCCGGAGGATTCCCCTTGCGGCCGCCTCCATGCCCCATATGTGCCAAAATAGTGCCCAGAGATTCGAGTGGTTTCCACACTTTACACCAACTTTAAAAGAGATCACTGGACATATGTTTCTCATGTTAAAGCGTGGAAAGCCAGAGATAGCCCGAGCTTTGCCCCATTCGAGAAAGCGCGAGCCTCAAAAACCAATGGTTTTTCTCGGGGTTTGTCTCACCTTTCCAAAGAGATCACTGGACATCTTTTCTCATTTTTGGCAGGGCACGTATCCGCAAAAGGAGAAGGCCGAGCCTCAAAAACGAAGATGTTCACGACAAAGTCATGTTATCCAGTGCGCGTATCCGCAAATGGAGGCAAACCTTTCAAAAGAGAAAGCCCGAGCCCCAAAAACGATGAGTCTTTCCGGGGGTTTGTCTCAAAGCGAGCCGCGGGTCCCAGGGTCCCAAGTCTCCAGGACACCGTGGCGGCCACCGATCCGCGCTCGGAGGTGCGAGAGAGAGGGCGACGGAACTTCGCGGATGTCCGTTGCGGGGAAATCCGGGGTCCACCCCAACAAAATGTGTGCTGTCCTTGGCGTTTCGCTGCAAAATTCTACAAAGAAAAGGGGCCCAGCTCAACAAATAATAAGTGTATATTCATACATATATACATATACGTATATATACCTGTGGGTTCTTTTGTTCTGGATGTATCCTTCTCGCGGAGAACACGGTTCGACCAAGCCTGGTGAGCCTTTGAATGGCCCCCGAGTTTCTTGAGCCCCCTTGTAAGTATCACAGGCTGTCGCATGCAAAGGAGACATCCCAAAGTCTTCCGGTGACGGGGATTTGAAGCCCTTGGCTTCCTTACGAGTGTGTTTCGCCTTTTTCAGCAATCGGACCCCCAAGAGTGGTGGGTGTCCCTTTGGTTTCCCGTCAAAGCAACACCCAGAACGGGCGAACCGGGGGTTCGACCGCCAGGCGCTGCTGCAATCCCTGGACCTCCCATCGAAGCCAGTGGTCCGAGCGCTTCAAGAGGCCAGGGCACGCGAAGCGCGTCGCGCATTTCACAAAAAATTGGTTCTCTGCTTGTCTTGTTCTTCTTGCTACGATTGTCAAGGAATGAGAAATGGACCGACCCCCGGAGAAAAAAAAGCAAACTATGGCTTCCTCAGGTAAACTATAAACCGTCCTCGATGGCTGTTGTCATTCAGAACTCAGCTGTGTCTCTCAGGGAACAACTCAACTTGCTGCTGCGATTGGCAGGGAATGAGAAATGGAAAATGAGCCCGGAGAAATAGCAAACCATCCTCTATTCTACTTCCTTTAAGGGAATCCCGTTCCGGTTCATTCCACTTCTCATGCCCTGCTGAGCACCAGTTTGTGGTTGTTTGTGCTGTTGGTGTTGTTGGCTTTTCTTGGTGCTTGTGTTGGTCTTTGTGAAAGTGTTGGTTGTTGTTGCTGTTGGTGGCGTTGCTTGTTGCTTGTGTTAAGTGCACTACGACACCCGCCCAGATCCCAGGTTGGTTGGTTCACCTGCTTTACAACTAGGTCCCCCAGTATATAGTGCCCTTTCTCACCCCTTTTTTGGTTGGGAGGGTTCCCCTACTAAAGCAGACTACAGAAAAGAAAAGGTACCCTTCTTCTATCCTCTCCCAGACGCCCGAAAGGTGGATGTGTTCTTTTTGTTTCATATTGAACCATTGGAAAGTGCCAGGGAAGCATCTGGGAATTTCTCTCAAAGGAATCGGACCCCATTTCGGATGTGTTGTTTAATGAGAACCAAAGGAAGGCACCTGAGGGGGTCCTTCGGCGCGAATGGCGAGTGTTTGAGCTCGACCTCTCTTGACTTCCAACGGAATCCCAAAGGCTGGTCGAATTGAATGAAAAGTCGAGCTCGCATGACTGGATGCCCCCTAAGAAAAGGCGCGGGCGCCGACATCCCAGAGCCAGTCTAGGTAACCCTTCGATCCATTCTTCTTGATGTTCAAGGGTGGTTCTCTTGGTTCCCTACAGGAAAATGGATCCAGCAACAGGAATTCACCCCAAGCAAGCAAGTTGTCGTTCCAATTCGGAGTTTCCTTACCAGTCCTTGTGTCAAGAAAATGCAAATTGGCATTTGGGTCCGACCAAAAGCTCCATTTCATGGACCCCAATTCAAATGATTGGCGTCCTTTCGGATTGCAAGAATGGATGTAACCAATCGAAAAGGGGTTCCAAGAAAAGACACACACACACATGGCTGTGGCTCAAAAAACCGGTACCAAAATGGAACCCTGGGAAGTGGAAACATGGACCAAAACCTGCGTAACCACTCATGTTTAATTTTGAGCCACACCCACATTTGTTCACCCAATGGCCGCTGTTGCTTCCGTTGAGTACCAACCCACAGGCCTCCAATAGACAAGCGGAAAGATGTCACAACGCGATCCGAGTGGCTCTAAACACTTGGCACAACTTGAGGTTATTTCCTGACGCTGGATCCATTTTCCTCTAGGGTTCCAAGGGAACCACCCTTGAACATCAAATGGATCGAAGGGTTACCAAGACTGGCTCTGGGATGTCGGGGCCCGAGCCTAGCTGGCTATTTTGCGTCTTGGGAGCAACTCTGTTAAGTGGGGGGGTCCTTTCCGATTTAATTTGCTGTTGAGCCGTAGGGCGATGTTATCCGGATTCCCATGGTTTAAACTGTACAGCCAAGCAGTGCAGGCGGTGGCCACCGCTCGCATCGCTCGCCTCAAGTGGGAGGGCACCAGAGATGCCTTGAAGGCCGGGGCACGGTGACCCGGTTGCTTTTGCCCGAAAAGCAACCCACTGGCCAAGGGTTTTTTTCCAGTCACAGGGTCTGAATTGATCTGTGACATCCCATCCCGGGTGTTTGACTAAATTGACACGGATGAGCCAGAGGATGGGATGAATCCAGCCGGTGGTTGGGACTTCTCAGTTGCAATGTTTGTCTGTAGAAACGCATTTGCCCAGTGGCGCCCTGTTTCCCTTCAACCACCCAGGGATGCCCTTGTTTTCCCATGGCCACTGAGCATCTGAGTTGAAAGGCATGTGCTTCATGTACCGAATCGGACCTGGAATTGCAAACAACTCACAGGCCCGGACAGACTGGCAGTAGCCGGCAAGATGTGCATTGCCCTTTTAAAGGCAATGCCCGCAATGCTCAATGAAACGGTGGGCACACAAAGAGAAACGTCACAAGAACTTCACTAGGCTTAGTGGGGCTTGTCCCATTTTCTTCTGGGTGACCACCCTATCCGCAAGCTTTCCCTGAAACATACCGAAGCGGCGAAGAGAAATCGGGGAAGTGCCCAGAATCTTAAGCTACATCCCTATCGGCAAGTATGGTTCCCGCGGGAAATGGTCGCGACGGGTTCCCGAAAAACCGCGGGGTTTCCATCTTAAGTTCCGTGGGGTTCGCACTCGCACTTGCCAGAGTTCCGGGAGTCCCCTGAAAGAAAACCACCAGTTGGATGGTTTATAGGGGGAAATTTCCCATTTCCCAGTCTCTGCCAATCGCACCAGCAAATTATGTTGTTCCCTGGTCCAATTGGAGATACAGCTGAGTTCTGAATGACAACTTGTTGGCACCAAAGTCCTCGATCGAACTGGCTCCATGAAAGTGACATCCTAAAAACTTCCCACCAAATCAGTGTTTTTGTTCGGCGAGTTCCTACCATCAACTTTCTCAGACCTCAACATGCATTTCTATTTGCTTGATTTCTGGACGTGGGGTTCAAAACTCCATGAAAATCCATGCCCCGCTGGCTGGGGGCGTGTGTCTTCTTGTTTTTTCAGGCTCAGTTGAAGCTTGCCACGGACGAGCTGGAGAGTAAGGCCTTTCGGATGTCACCACCGGAGTGCCAGGCAAGCCACTACCCCTATAGTACGTAACCAGGGATCCTTGACTCTAAACAATTTCCAGTGATCGATTCCCTTTAACACCAGAAACTTCTTACCCAGTTCTTCCAGGCGTTTCGCCACTATAGTAGGCTTGCAATCAGGGATGCGTACCTCTAGGTGTTACCATGGATAGGTTTCCCTGGTTACCTACCATAGTGGTAACTGGAAGCACTGATCTTTCACGCTTTTCCGAGCCATTTCCTGTTTCGAAACCTCCAAAAGTGGCAATCGTTTCAATGAAACGCCAGTGAATTGATCAACTGTTGGAGGGGAAATCCAGCCACCACTGTTTTTCCAATGAAAGTGGATGGGAGGCTTCCCCGAAAGGAACATCAACTTCCGAATTGTTCCTTTGCAGGGAATCCATGACTACTGGACATAGGTCTTGCATTTTTTGCAGGGGAGATTGCCGCAAATGGCGGTCGGATCACCAATAGACCAAGCAATGTCGGTCCTTCACTTGGGGAGTCCTTGCATTGGAATGGTTAAGAATACGGCTGGTTGTACTCGCCGGTGAATTATCTTGGGAAACCGAGACAAGAGGATCGCCTAGGAAACGAGTTGGATGGTTCGTCCACTGTGGACCAATCAAACGGATCTGAAGAGCTGACAACTCTCTCTCTCTCTCTCTCTTGTTGCCCGATGCTTTGATTCAACGTCCCGACTGGTTTGATCTCCCATTTTCCAGGCCCTCTTTCCTTGCTGCTGCTCACTAGGAAAGGACCTGCTGGGTGTTGGGAATGAAGTTGGGAATTCCCTGAAGGGAAACCATAGGGTCATTCCAACTCATTCCCTTCTGAGACACAGTAAGAAAGTGTCCGGTGAGCTGACACTCAGTTTCCCAAAGCAAAGCCTTTGACCCTTTTTGGTTTCCCTGATTTCCAGACAAAAGTCAAGGTATCAAAGGGCGAGTGCCTTTTACCTAAGGGGCAGATGAGCTGACAAGACATGTCTTCACATCGAACCCACCCAAAAGCGATACGTGTCCTTGCTCGGACGAGCGGACAAGGGGAAGAGACAGGAAATCGGTAGTTGCACCCTATCCGTTTCTGTGGTACATTGTCAGCTGTTTGAGATGAGTCAAGCGGACAGCCCCGAGTCATTGTTAAGAATAAACGATACGTAAGGGCAGGTCCCTTAAGTTGTGTTGCAAGCCCGAACCGTCGCAAAACGATGCTGAGGAAGAAACACACAAGGAAGAAAAGCGATGCCTCCAGAGAAACCATGAAGACACAATTGATTCGATCACTTGGTGGTTCCCAGCCATCCCCGTACGTTTCAGGTGTTTTGGTTTAGTGGGGGTTTCCGTTTAACCCACCAAAAACTAAACTTTAAGCAGGGGATCTGAGGACAGCCCAGAATAGTATTGGGTTCTTGTGAGCAGCACCCTGTGCTGCCGAGAAGCTATACGAGGCATGGAGAAAGCAAGCAATTGTTTCTAAACCGAGGTTCTGGAATAGGAAACTTACAGGCCCCCACCCGATACTCAAACCGATACTCAGCCTACCCGATACTTGTACCTTCCAATTCCGCCCAACTGCCCAGTAGCACGCCCTGTTTTTGGTTTGCTGTCTTCATACCGAATCGTCAAGTTCCTCTTCCTGATGACCGAACCTGCTTTTGAGACATGCGAAACAAGTCCGTGCGCCGCCGCCGCCGCCGCCGCCGCCTGCTGCCTGATGTTCCTATGCGTGTTACATGGCCACGTCCCAAGACATTGTAAACCGATGCTGAGAAGGAAAAACATACTAAGCCATGCTAGGGTGTAAGGGTACAAAGATGTTTTACTTCAATCAGCCCACCGCGAGTCCCAAGTTTGAGACACGCCGGAATGTGCCAGGGTCAAAACTGACTTTGTTGCTTGGGATTGGTAGGGACTGTCACCAATCTAAAGATTAAGGATCAGGAGACCTTTGAGCAGCTATGAAAAGGAAGGTCGGTAAGCGGGGCTCCTCCAAAACTAGCTTATTATGGGGTAGGCAGTGGAACAGAGTCAGCAAACATTTGTTTTTCGAGTACCGCCAGCCATTCAGTGTTCCCTGAATAGGTACCAAGGGGAAACAACAAAAAGCTTTGAGCTTTGAGAACGCAAAATAGATGGTTATGCATCACACTAACTGAGATCCACTTGGCCAAGAACCCTGAACATCAGCAACTGGCGACTCGCTTGCGACTCGACGTTTTTGTAGGCGGCACTGGCAGCGACCGCCTGCAAGCTGGAGGGTGAGCAACTGGAGAAGCGATCGCCTCAATACCGCGGTCAAACTACCAGCCAACCAACCAGCCAGCCAGCCAGCCAGCCAGCCCGGGTTCCTACTTTTGGGACAAGAGCCCCTCAGAATGTTCCGAACCCCAAAGAAAGACAACCAACCAGTTCCTTTTGGTGTTCAGAAAGTTCCCGTTAGGTGCCATGGGAAATGAATTCGCTGGGCAAGCTGTTTGATGGCTTCAAGCCGTCTGCAGAATGCAAACCACAGGAAGATTCGCTCAAGTTGAAGGTGGGGTGTTTCTGCAGAATCGGTGTATTTTGTTGAAATTGCCCTTCTTGGGCTTGGCTTAAACAAGAAAAAAAGAAACCCCACGCGCCAGGTTGGGGTGGGGTCCGCTCAAAAAGCGAGGCACCCTTTGGGTTTTGCTTGCATGGTAAGCCAAAGGGAGCCAACCAGAAGGTGTCCATTTTGATCTCGAAACGCATGGGACATGGACGACCCCGAATGTCGGAAGGGCACGGCTCGTAAGCCCTAGGCCTTTCCCTTTGGGAGTTTTCGCCGTTCGAATGGTGATACCAAAGTTAAACCTTTGAAGTGATCATGAAATGAGAATGGCCCGGCTGGGTACCGATGGGTACTGGCTGTTCGTACCTTCTTAATTCCAAAGCTATAAGGGGTGCTTAGCTCAGGCTGGATATCTTCATCACTGCTTATGCATACGGCTCGGACACCCTGGTTGCAGGGACATGCAATGAGAAAAAACAAGCTAATTTTTTGGGGGTTGCCGATTTTGGCACATATCCATCTTTGTTCGTGCCAAGCTGGTTTGAGATGGCTTCAGAGGTGACCTCTTGTGCCAAACGTGGGGGCCAGTGGTCCATGAGGGGTTTTGACTTGGGTTTGTCAATGTAGAGAGGTTAGAATAAGGGTACCCATTTATTCCTGTGGGGGTGTTCCCCTCCAAAAGTGATAAATCCCCACTAAAACCGGGGACACCCCATATTAATAAACAGGGGTTTATTCATCCCAGGTCAACATTACCCTCCAGCGTCATGTTTGGAAGCGTAGCTTGGCCTCAGGAGCCGCGAAGTGGGGCACCTCCATGGTCAGGCAATGGAGAAAATCGGGGCGGCGTGTGACTGGAATAGACTTGCTGCTCAGCGGGGAATGAGGGAATGAACCTGGAGATTCCTTAAAGGAACCATAGGGGATGGTTTATAGGGGTCACTCCCTCATTCCCAGCTAAGCACCAGCAAGTAAATGGAACGTTTGAGCCTGAAATTAACCCCAATCCAGCCCCGCAGGATCTGTTGTTGGGCTTAGGGTTGAAGCCTAGGGCTTGGGTTTGTTTTGTTTTTGGGTTGAATATTTTTTGGGGTTGAAGTTTGGCAAACAACAGCCCTGCGCAGTACTTAGGGTTGAGGTCCAGGGCGTAAGGGTTTTGGGGGTTAGGTTTCACGGTTGAGGCTTAGTGTTTTCAGGGTGTATGTTTCGAGTTTTTAGGGTTTGGAATTAGGGTTTTTAGGCTGTAGCCTCCCGGACCCGAGTTGGAGCTTGGCGCTTAGCCCTCCAAAGGCCCAAAACAGTTGCCCTGCGCAGTCATTTGCGTTTGCGGCCAATCTGTCCTGAGGGGCGATGGGACAGATCGTCACGTCCGGTGTTGGAAGACAACACGTTCCATGACAGGGCGGCCATGGTGGAGCATTATCCTACTTGGGCCTTGAGATGTTTGTCGAAGCCGGACGTGTCCGCGCGGGTTCGGGGAGGTGAGAATCAAAGGGTGGTACGTGTTGAGGATGTTGTTTACTTGGGTTGGTTCAAAGAGCCCATTTGGGCGTGTCGTTTCTTTAAAGGACCCCCCCAACTTGGTGGTTTCTTTTCGGATTCCTTGCAAAACACACCCAGAAAAGGGATGGCCTCAAAAAAAGAGACGCCCATTCGGTGCCTCATGTACCAAGGGACCCAAGCTAGTTGCCTCTACCCCCAAAACCCCCCGATGCTAAAAACCGGTCCGATGTCCCTGAGCGGCGATCAAACCCCAAAAGGGGCTTGTCTGTTGGAGCGGTTCAAGGCTGGTTTAACGGAAAGGCAAAAGTTGATTGGGGGGTCCCCCAAATTTAAGATCCGGCTAATTGATTCTTTCCCATGGATTCTGAAAAAAAACGCCCTAGTTACCGGCATTTGATGTTCACTCAAGTGGCAACTCTGAGCTAGTTTTGTTCGCCTGGCTTGTGGTTGTTCAGTCTGTCTTGTTTCTAGTTTGAAGGGACTCGGCTTAAACGGCGTTGAACGCCTGAAACCCTCCTCCCTTCCCTTCCTGAGTCTCCTCTACTGGTTTTGTAGTTTCTTCTCTGTTGTTGGATCATGTTTAGGTGTTTAGATGTTTTGGGGGTTGCACGTGTTTGCTACCAAGGGGTTGGCAAGGTTTAGAGTACTCTTTGCGCCACAGAATCAGAACACATTAGTTTCGGTGTACCCGAAACCCCCCCCCCCAGTACCCACACCCCGTGGACACCTACAGCCTATGTCGAGTCTATGTGGGTGTCTGTTTTTGAGGGTACCCTTTTGGTAGTCAAGGGACACCAAAAGGAAAACTCTCGCGCCATTTTGCAGGGTCCTGCAAAAACAGACTACACCCATACAATTCCAATGACAGCAGGGTACCAACCCCAAAAAAGAAGGGCGTTGCGGTTTTAAGGGTTAGGGCTTGAGGTTTGAGGTTTGAGGTTTGAGACGAACCAAGACCGTCCATTCCCAAAATGTGTCCCTTTAAAACCCCCCTCCCCAATACAAAAAGAAAGAAACGGGGGGCCAACTCCAAAAAAGAGGAGCCACCCGCATAAAACCAGGCAATTCCCATGACTCAGCTCTCGAGTGGCAAGCTCGAAGGCTGTTTTTTTTCTCCCTTGACCACTTCCTAGCTGAGCTGGTGTGTTTCTGGGGCTTCGGGCTCTCGCGGCGGCCATTTCCGGGGCAGGCAGCCCCTCGCCCCCCGCCCCACGCCTCGCGCCTCGTGGCAAGGTGGAGCTCCTGCAGCACCAGGCGAAGGAGGCCATCGAGCGCGAGCGGCAGCTCAGGGAGCAGGCGGCGGCGTCGAGTTGAGCGGCGAGTTGAGAGCGGCGGCGGGCGGTTTGGACGGCCCCTGAGAGGGCCACTTGGTGGGTGGCGCGTTGTTTTTGTTGGGTTGGAGCTGGTACCCCCGGTTTTTTTTTTGGGGGGGGGAAGGGGCTTTAAAGGGACGTGTCATGAGAATTGCCAGTCGTTTTGTATGGTGGCTCGACTTGTTTTTGATGGACCCCAAGAATTGCTCGGGTTTTCCTTGTGGTTTCCTTTCACCCCCCCCCCTCCGCAAAAGCAGGTACTCGCAGCAAAAGACAGACCCGAATGCCCACGAGGAATCAGGCCCCCTGTATGGGAGTTCGTTTGATTCTTGTTTGACGTTGGTTGGATATGTTTGTCATTCTGTTGTATTGGGGGGGAGGGGGTGGCTGTTCCTCAGGTGCTGCTGGCTGAAGAGGCCACCAGAAAGGCGCAGCACGCCCACGGCGAGGCTCGCGGTTCTGGGGGGAAGCCGCTCGCAGGGAAACCAACGAAACCAGCAGGAGATTTTGGACATCTACGAGTCCTCTCAGTTCTCTCCCATCCCTTTTCACCTCGGAGATGTTCCCAGCATTTGCTTGGCCTTGTCTCCATCACATCCTACAATAGGCCTTGCAAATGCAAAAAGATATGTGGAGCAGTGCCTTGACTGGTCAGCCAAATACCCACTAAACCCAGTTCCTGTAAAACCCCTAACGCCTGATGAGACAAAACTGTTGTTTGTCTTTTCTGGTGGTGCCTCTCTTTTTTTTGTTATTGGGCTTAGCTTGCCTGTTTAAACGATTGTTACCTTTTTTGGTCGTTTTCCAGATTTACCCTCGCAACCGACAAAGGTTGACATTTGCAGGGCCGAATCTGATTGAACAAGTGTTGGGCGATCTTTCATGGGAAAGCAAATGAGAAACCAAACATTTTGGGAAGTTCCCTCACACAAACAACACCATATGAGTGACGTTGTGTGTAATGACACCTTGGCTTCCGCTCAGACAAGTCAGTGTTCCTTGTTGTTGTGCTTCGGAAAGCTACAAGGAAAAGGGGTACCCTAAAACAGCTCGTACATATGTTGGTGGGTCTGACTGCTGTTTGCTTGGGAATTGACACCAACATGATCAAACTGACAAGGCATTATCCAGCGTAAAGAATCCCGGGTTCTCGTGCAACTGGGTGTCATGTGGAGCAAGTATCAGCTGGGACGTCTGGTGGTTCCCATGTCATTTCTTATGGTGGTGCCAATAGATTGTGTTGCGTTGTCATGCAAGTTGCAATGCTTGTTCAATGCATTGCACAGTGTGCAAGCGTGGGCCGTTGCGCGTGTGTGCGTGTTTGCGTGTTTTGTCAAATTCAGAATCATGCGTGAATAGATAGAGCGAGAGAGAGAGAGACTGTGCAAATAGTTGTGCATGATTGACTGTGTGTTGTTGATGCGTTTGCATTTCGCTCTGGTGAAGGGGACCCCTTATCCCCTTGGCGTTGCAGATTACAAATCAAAATGGTGGACGAAGAGGCAATGGACAAGTTGTAGCGACCTCGCCATTTGGGGTCTTTGACCTTAGCCATCCTTGGGTTTGTTGAATTATTACATCTCGCCCAGTTTGGAGTTGTTGTTTGTTGGTTGCCAGGAATCTATGCGGTGTAAGTCACAGAAACAAGGCAAAGGCCCGTTTCCATGTGAACAGCTCTTGTTGATTTCTTGGGTCCTCCCTCGATGGCCAAGTTATTCCTAGCAACGTTTCAATGAGGCTGGCACCCAACATGCTCGCAGGCCAGCCGTCAATCAGATCAGGCGATTCAAGAGTTGCAAGATCAAGTCGCGAGCTTGGCATTTGTGTTGATCGCCATCCCCCATCGCCTTGCCAGGTCTGCTCAGGTGGAGGGTTTAGGGTTAGGTCTTCAAAGCACCTGAAAAATACGCGCATCTACGACAGTCCCAGTTACCTGGTGGCCTCCCATAGGAGAAGGGGTCACCCTTGGGCCCCATCCTTTGGCGTCTGGTTTAGACTGATGTTATAATTCAATTTGCAAGGGATTTGTCTTTCTCTCCTTTCCCCCCCCCCAAAAAAAAAAAGAAAAGAAGAAGAAAGAACGAATGGGGTGGTTCCGTTTGGTTTCCCTTCAAACGCATCCGCAAAAGGGTTCCTGGCATGCCATGTTTTTCCCCGAGTTCTATGAACATGTGGACACGCCCAGTGGTTCCTTGTGGCTGGGACTTGCAGTGCTTCGAGGGTCCCCTGCAAACTGGTTGCTTCTCCTTGGCTTCCCGTTAAAGCCAGCAAAAGCCGGGCATCCAAAAAAGAAAACTTGCCACCCATACTTCACGTATAATGACAGCTTAGCCGCTGCCGTTGCTGAGGTCGCTGAACTTCGGGCCGAAGTGCTTCAGCTTCACGCCGGCGGCCTGGTGTCGACGTCTATCAAGACCTCTGGCGCCCGTTTTCAAGCGGAGGTTCGCTTTAACTATGGACCAGGATGCTAGTTTGGTTCCATGGCCAACTTTGGCAACGTGAAGCCCGTTCATTTTTCATCTAGGCCCTTACATTACTAGGTCCCCCAGTAGTGCCCGTTCCCCTTTTTTGGGGGAGGGTTCCCCTACTAATAGACTACAGCAAAAAGTTGGGTACCCGTATATTCCAACTTCTCAAATCTGGAGGACCTAGAGAATACGCGTCATTTAGTGGTGATTGGGAAAGGCCTGTTGGAGCCGTTGGACTATTCTGATTCTACTCCCAAGCGACTAGGCGCACCCCCCATCAAAGCCACCTCATTGAGCATCCAGATTTCGGGTTTGGTTGCCATTCTTGGATTGCGCGCCTGGGCTACGAAGCCCGAAGCCCCTGGGTGCCTTGGGAATCAATCCGCGAACTGACGCGCTCAGGACAAGCGGCCCTTCACGGGCAGGGAGATCCAACCCAAGTGCGCGTGCACCGTGATGCCGGGCCGCCGAAGTGGGAATTGCCAAACCCGAAGTTGGAAACGAAGGGCGAGGGGTCTGAATTTTTAATGGGTCCAAAAGAACCCAATCCCAGTTGCCCAGTGGTGTTTGTGGTTTCCTTTTTTTGGGAAGGGTTCCCCTTTAAAGTCAGCCGACCAAAAACAGGATGCCCTTGTTTCCCCATTGCCACTGGGCATCTGAGCTCAATGTGGCATCTGTCCACTTTTGAGGCACCAAATTTCATCAGATGACGGAGCCGATTTATGTTTGTTCCTGGTTGATTCCTTTCAGGTGCCTCATTTTAGCGGGGATCTTTTGCGGAACCCCTGGTGAACTTTCCGGTTTTTGGGGTTGCTTTGTCAGACTTTTTCGGTGTATCTGCGACGCTTCTAGAAGCCCCACTTCGTTGATCATGCTGGATGCGCTTACTGAATCCAGGATTCTCGGGCTGGTTCCTGAGACATCCACCAGGTATCCGTGGTTGGCCTTACTTGAGACTGACCCAAACCGAGCTCCCGGTTGGCAGGCCGTCATCCCTTTAGGTAGACCGCCTTTGTGTCTTTCTTGGGAGGCCGCCCTTTGTTCCCATGGCCACTTGGGGGTTTGGGCGCAGGAATCCCAAAGGATTGCCTGAGCGCTATGCGCAAAAGTGTAGCCACAACTTGGTGGCTCCCAGCCATCCGGTTCCTAGCTTTTTCGCCTTTTAGTGTTTAGTGGTAGTTTCCATTTAACCCACTAAAAGTTAAACTGTTAGCGGGGGATCTGAGGACAGCTCAGACAAGTTTGAACTTCCCACCAGGAAGCCAAAGGGCATGGGTACTTGTTTGACATTTCCAGATCCCCTATTTGACACCCAGAAAAACAAGGACATGTAAGATGAAAAGGCAGTCCAAAAGGGAATCTAGACCGGGTCCCTCAGAACTTCAGCAGGGTTCTGGTCCTTGATATTCATTCCCTTTGTCTTTCCAAGGGCAAAACAAAAAGTGCCTGGAGCTTGAACTGTGGTTGTTCCCAGGCATGAGTGGTGAATCCCATCAAGCCTGGAATCAAAGAGTGTTGAGTCCCTTCGTTTGATGAAACCTCGTTTCGGCCCATGACCTGCCCACTGGTCCAACATGGTCACCTATCCAGCGGTCCTTGAAGAGAAAACAAAATAAAGCCAACATGTTTTTTCTGGATCCCAATTCTAAGACATATATATATATATATGAATATATGATGTATATCCCCATCCAGAAAATCGAAATTGCACAGGGCTTGACTAATGGGTTTCAACGAGGCGGGTCCCAAATTTGGCATGGGGCCGAAACCCACTTCCGACCCTTCCATGTCACACTCTTGACTTGGGCAAGGATGGTTATGGCCCCGGGAACGTACAGAAGCATGATAAGGATGCCTGGAGGAATCATGGCTCACATGCCACGGGAGGTTTACAACAGCACACATGACGGATTTCAAAGAATATGGGTGGCTCACTTTGGTTTTCCTTTAAACTCGAAAGTGAGGGGGGGGTTTTGATGCAAAGAGAAACCAGGCCGCGCCTTTCGTTGGGTGCCAAGGTGAGCTTCCGACCGTGCAAAGCCGCGAGCAGTGAAAAAAACGGGTGCCAGGTCGATGCAAAGAGGCAGGTACCGTGGATTTGCTGAGTATTTCTTGCGATGCGCCCTTTTGAGGTTGTTTCAAAGAGAATCCAATTGGAATCCACCCGCTTTTCTGGCTGACTCAGGTAGGCACGTGGCCTCAAGCGCCATTCATTCTTGGACTTTCGGAGAGGTTGCACAGCTGAGTCCCTAAATCTTGCTTCTGAACAAAAGAAAGACAGGAAGACCCTCGAGGTTTATGGTGGTTGGGTTCGCTTGCAGTATTCGCTTGCTATCCGCTTGCTACGCACGTGTGCCTCGAAGGCTCTTTTCAGGAAACTGGAACAAGAGCAGAGCGGCATGTTCCGATTGGGGAATGCAAAAGGTGCGCTTGGTGTGTGTGTGTGTGTGTTTCTTTGGATACCCTGTTCCAGGTTGGTGTGAAGGGGAACCAAAAGGAAACCACCATCTTGGGGCACTCCCCCTATTTTGACACATTTATCTGAGTGAATTCCAAGAGGGATACACACTTCGACACTGCGTGCGAGAGTTGCAGAACAGTGGCTGACAATCCCGCACCAGCAGACAGCTAGCCAGCTTTCCAACGCAAATCTCGCCCACGATTGAAAAGGCAGTCCCTTCTGTTGGTGCTCTTTTAGTGCTGTTTTGATACCTTGCGGTGTGCATCAAAGGCAACTGCATCCAAAGTGTACCGAACTCATCACAAAGCAAGGGCTCAGGACACGGACTTGCAACAGCACCACAAAACGAGCACCTGCAAAGCGTTTCGGCCTTTGACTTTTGACTTTTGGGCTGACTCTTCCCCCAAAAGTGACAGGGTGTTTAGGTTTCAGCCCAGCACTCACTCATTTCGCTTCAGACCGTGCATGTTCCGCGGGCGCGTGGCGAGACTTTGCACTCGAGTACGGCAGGAGACTCAAATTTGTTTTTTTGAGGGTACCTCATTTTGCTGGTGGGTTGTTTTTTTTGAGGGTACCTGATTTTGCTGGTGGCTTTAGACAACAGGAAGCCACCCTTTCTTGGAGCTCCCCCCTTTTTTTCGACAGGCCGCAAAACCAAACGCGGAGCCCTGAGGATCCCAGTATTGTAGAAGTTAAACATTCCCCGAATAAAAGGCCGAAAGGAAGGATTGGTGGAAGCCCTCTTATGGAATCGACAAACAGGGCAATTGAAACAAATGGCGCAAGCCCCCCCAAGGTGGGCCGAAAGCCGAAAAGGGCACTAACTCAAATGCGACTCTCCATGGATGGCTTGCCGCCTGCAACGGGCTGAAAGGACCCCGGAAAGATGTGCAGAAAAAAATGAATGCAGCAATCAATCTCAACATGGGGTCTCAAAGTGCCCCAAAAACTATCACCCTGTTTTCCCTTTTTGTTCGGGGGCTTCCCGACTCGAAATGGTCAGCTACAGAACGGGTTCCTTTTTTACCTGAGTCATCCAAGAGTGAGAAAGACAACGTGTTCACTGCCGTGGCGTCATGGTGTCCCTTTGTGGAGTACAGGAAAGCTGCACAGCGCCATTGGTTTGAGGTCGCGTAGCCTCCTGTCCCGAAAATGGCTCGCGTCATTGGACTTCACGTCGTAAGCTGAATAATCACCCACAGCCATGCCACTATCTAGACCTGCAAACTACTGTTGAAAGGGGGACATCACCCTATTATTTGGGGGAGTATTTTTTTTGGTTTGAGGGTCCAGGTAGGGCTTTTGATGGCACATGCGACCAACTTGAAATCCGGGATAACACTGTCCAACTGGCTTGCCACACATTTGGCCGATCTAGATCCCTTTCTGTTTGGCATCACGAAAAGGTGCCAGCCCCAAACAGGTCCCTGTATTTTGGTGAACAACTCGCAATTCCTGGTCTGTCGGGACATGTCTCAAAGTACGGAGACCTCCAAACCGGTTGAAGGTTTCCTTTCCTCACGAGACCTCAAGGCCGACCCTTTAACCTTTGGGTTTCTCCCATGGTCGCTCGCCCCAAAAGGTTTAAGCACATCCGCATGGTACCGGGTTTGTTCGGGGCTTCCTTCAGTGGATCCAATATGATCACCGAGATGGGTTTGCCACAAGGATGTGGAACCCCTAAAATGGTTGGTTCCTTCACCTACGGAGATTACTCCAAGAATAAATCATAGAGGTGACATTTGGTGGTTACCAAACTCCCAGCCATCCGGTCCCTTAGCTTGTTAGAGGTTTTTGGGTGGTTTAGCGGTCGTTTCCGTATTAACCCACAAGCTTAAACTCACTTTTTGCAGATCCGAAAACGAGGCAGCCCAGTTTTGCCTTCCTTCCAACGCAACCACAAAAGGGTACTCTCAAGCAAGCGAGACACCCCAAACAATTAGCTAGGTTCGCCAGTAGTGCCCTTTCTCACCAACTTTTTTAGAGGAGGGTTCCCCTAAAATAGGCGTCCTGAACAAAGAAACGGTACCCTTCCAGCCTCACTGGAGGACCGGTGGTTCGCCGAAAAAATCCGGCGGAGAGCGGGCAGAGCGTCTCTCGCGCTGGCGCTTCGGCGGCTCGCCGCAGGCCTCCGCCGCGGGGTGATCTGAGCAGCCAGCTGTTGGAGCAGGTTCGGGAGATGGGTGAACGGGTTGGGGGGGGGGGGGTTGGTTACCTGTAAATCGCACGGTTGATTTGTTTGGGGTGTTCTGTTTTGGGGGGGGAGGGGATAGTTAATAATCACATTGTGGTTTCCCTTAGGGTGTTTTTACTTGGGTCACAAATTTTGCGGGGGGTGACACATGGAGTGGGTGACTTTTTTTCTTTAGGGGGGCCCGGTATTGTAGATGTCACGTAGTGGGTCCAGAACATGGATGGGCCGCTTGTTTTTTTCTTTTTTTCTGGGGGGTGGGTGAAAAAATAGTAAAAGGAGAATTCAAAGAATTATTCTTTCTACTATTTTTTCCAACAGCAACACAACAAACAGAAAACAAAATCCAGAACAACAAGCAAACAAAATAAATAATCACAACCAGCAACAAAAATATTTAATCACAGCATACAACATTAAATAATTCAAACAAGCATACCAACAAAACAGCAACACTCTAAATCATCAAAGAACCCAAACTCAAAAACACACATCAACAAAAACAAAGCAACATACCAACAAAAAATATCACAAGAGTATCAAACAAAACAAAAACAAACAGCCAAAGCACGAAAAAATTGAAGAAGCATGCCAAGTCTAAACAACGCACTTTGAAAGAGATAAGCAAATTATAATAATTCAATATATAAAACGCTATACTTTAATCCGTCGTGACAGTGACAAGCCCTCGTCGTGACAGTGACAAGCCCTCGTCGTGACAGTGACAAGCGTGACAGTGACAAGTCTGTGTCGTGACAGTGACATTTCCCTTTTGGTTTCCCTCTTGGCGGATTTGTGCGTGTGTAGGGAGTTGGTTCTTTTGATGGCGTGCTTCTCCCCTTTCAAGGCTTCGCCTTTCCCACGATGGATGTATGTTGGTGGATGTTGTGATGAACCCCCCTAATTCAAACTCACCAAGATTTCACAAATTAATTCGCTAGGTATTTTATATAAATCTTCCTGCTTATGTATTGTTGGATTGTCTCCCCATTTTTCCTTGGTGCCCGATGGTAGCCGTTGTGCTGTTTCAATATGTTTATTATTCCTGATGTTGCCACAATCCTTTTTACATAATTCTCTAGGTTTCCAAGTTGTAATGTTATTCCAGAGCTTAGTGCGTTTTCTGTAAGGCATTCCATATTTACAATAATCAACATCTTTAAATTCAAACTCATCCATAAACTCCTGATTTTTTAATAATCCAGTTTGTGGATTTTCGATTACAAAATATTTAGGATTGAAATATTTGATAATCTCAATAGTTTTTAAGACAATATCATTTGCATATTCGATATTCCTAGTCCCCCTAGTTTTTGCTATGCTGTATTCAGTGCATGGGGGACTACTCCAAATAAAATCAAAATGGTTTCTGTCAAACTGTTTGTAATCCCACTCCAAAATATCAGTGTTGATATCAGCATTTTTCAAGTCTAATGATATTACATTAAATCCAAGCGACTTTGCTATGGTTCCGACGCTTTTTGTTCCACTAAATAATTCTATTAAATTCATATTATTAGAATTACTTAGATATTAACTATTCAAATAATACATATACTCCATCATCATTTTTTGAAATTTTGTAAAATTCTAAAGTGGTGCTTTTAGGTTGTTTGATTTTTCCTGTATTCAACATATCACAGTATTTATTTTGCTTTGTAGGATAATCACCCGTTGGTCTTCCTATAGATTTTGCTTGAAATATCTGTTCGATTTTTTCTTTATCTTCATTGCGTTCAACTGGTTTCATTTTGTCATCAATCGATTTAATCATATCATTTAAGGTTTTGATATTTTTACCAATTAATGTTATCTTCTTCATTAAATCATTAATAGTATAATTCTCATTTTCAGACATTACTATATATTTATTTAGATAATTATTTATTTAATTATACAATTTATAAAGTGCAATTATGTTAAATCTACTCTTTAAATACTAATTTTTCATCATTTGTTTAACAGTTTCCTGTGTTTCGTTTTCATTATTATCGGATGGTGTTGCTTGCCTACCAAATTTAAAAGTTATACTATGGACATCAGGTTCTAAGTTGATACTGTCTTTAGTTTTATCAATATTCATTTTCTTATCATTTTTACTTATTTTGAAACTTGTTGGAATACATGAACATTTACATGTTTTATTATTTTTTATTTCTAATTCATTTTTAAGTTCTAACATCTTTTTGCACATAGGACAAGCAATCTCAAATACTGATGTTTCTTTAACAATTTCTCCGCTATCTTCATCTGTTGAAGAAACACTTAAACCTATCTTATTCTTTTTGGTTCTCTTTTTTGGCATTTATATTAATATTTATATTTTTAATATATTGCATCAAAAACTTAATTAATTCTAAAATAAAATAACATATTTTTTTACATCTATTATCAGTTATG